CACAAAAAAAAAAAAAAAAATCTCAGCATGAGAGGCAGAAGCAGGAGGAATGGGAGTTTAAGGCCAACCTAAGATTAGACAGTGGAATTCCAGACTAGCCCAAACTACAAGTGCACGCGCACGCGCGCGCGCGCACACACACACACACACACACACACACACACAGGTTTGTAAAGTTTATAATCATCCTAAATCAGAAATAACCCCAATATCCTTCACATGAAAATACTGACTTAGCAATTAAAAAGAGATAAAATACTGATTCACACAAGATGGTAAGAGTTAATTACATCTAAGTGGAAGACTGTATATCATGTATTTCTAAGTATGTTTCTCTAGAAAAGTCAAAACTGACTGGCAGTGAGGCCCAAGTGGTAGAGGGCTCGCCTACCAAATGCAAGGCTAAATTCAATCCATAGTATTGCAAAAACAATTTAAGCTGAAGAGCACAGGGACAGCACCCAAGCCCAGAGTTCAAGCCCCACGACTGACCAAAAACAAAACCAAAAATAAGCTAGCATGCAAAAACATAACTCTCCTACTATATAAAAAAGTGAAAACTAAAAGGACAAAGAACAAAGCAATGGTAGCCAGGACTTTGGGAGAGTTTATGTGCAGAGGACCATCACAAGGGAATTTTTAGGGTGAAATGCTCTGTGTAGTATTATGTTGGTAGATACATGACATTTGTTAAAATCCACAGAACTGTATGCCCGAGGACTGAATTTTAATGCATGTAAATTAAAAAAATCAATCAGGATGTGTGTAGGAGGACAGAATGCAGACGATAATGATGAATCTAACTGTATTACAAATGAATCATATAATCACAATGAGGATAAGAAAGTAATGCACTTTTGAATCTAAAGAAGTAAAATAACTTTTGAAAAGGCACTTTGACATACTGAAACGACAGATGACAAGATCTGTACACTAATCAGGAGCTAATGGCTCAAAGCCGTAATTGTAGCTATTCAGGAGGCTAAGATTTAGAGGACTACTGTTTGACACTAGCCTCCTGAAAGGCTGTGAGACTCCATCTCCAAAAATAATGGGCAAAGAGCTGGGTTGGAGGTATGGATCAATAAGTCAGTGATAAGCATGAGACCCTGAGACCAAATCCTAGTACTACCTTCCCCCAAGAAACAAGCTCCCCCTTCAAAGAAATACCTGTGCTGGTCACAGTGGTAAGCACCTGTAGTATGAGCTATCTGGAAGGCCCAGGCAGAATTGCTTGATACCAGGTATTTTGAGGTATTTCCATTCTGGGAAATATATGGAAACCTCGAGAAAGAAAGAAAGAAAGAAAAGAAAGGAAGGAAGGAAGGAAGGAAGGAAGGAAGGAAGGAAGGAAGGAAGGAAGGAAGGAAGGAAGGAAGGAAAGAAAAGAAAGAAAGAAAAGGAAGGAAGGATGGAAGGAGGTAGGGTTGAGAATGTAGCTTAGTGGTAGAGTACTTGCATAAAGTTGGGGCTCAATTCCTCAGTACCACATAAACAGAAAAAGCTGGAAGTGGCGCTGTGGCTCAAGTGGTACTAGCCTTGAGCAAAAGAAGCTTAGGGACTGTGCCTAGGCCCTGAGTTCAAGCCTCAGGACTAGCAAGAAAAAAAAAGGCAAAAGCAGTATATTATAAATAATAAACTTTTTTTGGGGGGGTGGGGGAGGCACAGTGAGGGTTCTGAAGCTTCTTGATTTGTGTATTATGGTTGAAAGAGCAAATAAACACACTGTAGCTAATGAGAGCCACAATGTGCACCTGTAAATAGAAGGAAGGCTAGAATGAGCCCTGTGGGTCTGGATGGGTATTATAATTATCAACACAAATTCAGATTTTTAAAAAAATTTTACACATAAGGGGGCTGGGAAGGTGGCTCAGTGGTAGAGTGCTTGCCTTGCATGCCTGAGGCCCTGGGTTCGATTCCTCAGCACCACATAAGCACAAAGAAAAAAGCCGGAAGTAGTGCTGTGGCTCAAGTGGTAGCACGCTAGCCTTGAGCTGAAGAGCTGAAGGACAGCACTCAGGCCCAGAGTTCAGGCCCCACGACCGGAACCAAAAAAAATAATAATAATAAAATGAAAAATTTTACACATATGCGGAAACACCTACAAGTGTATTATAGTAAGCATGCATGTATTTCCTGTTCTAGCTACTGAGCAGGCTTGGAAGCAGCACATTCTAGTAACAAGCATACTAACACTCTAAAATTTTTTTTTTCTGGTCCTGGGGCTTGAACTCAGGGCCTGGGCACTGTCCTTGAGCTTCTCTGTGCTCATGGCAAATGCTCTACCACTTGAGCCACAGCGCCACTTCCAGCTTTTTCTATTTATGTGGTACTAAGGAATCAAATCCAGGGCTTCATGCATGCTGGGCAAGCACTCTATCACTAAGCCACAATCCCAGCCCCTCCAATTTTTGTCCATTTCCTAATAAGAGTAAGAGAGGAGTCCGGCATTGGTGGCTCATGCTTGTAATGCTAGCTACTCAGGAGGCTGAGATCTGAGGATCATGATTCAAAGCCAACCTGGGTAGGAAAGTCTGTGAAACTCTTATCTCCAATAAACCACCAGAAAACTGGAAGTGGCACTGTGGTTCAAAAGGTACAGTACTTCCCTTGAGCAAGGCAAGAGAGTTCAAACACACACACACACAGAGTAAAAGGAAAAAGAGAGAGAAGGAAATAGGAAACTAGAAAACTTCCCTCAGAATACCATAGCAATAATGGGTTTCTGAGCAAAACATCATAACATGCACACCTGCAATACTACATAAAACCTTTTGGTACCATAATACACACTAAAAAGAAAAAGAAAAAAATGAATGACATGGAATTAAAATAGGCCTGGAGGTGGGCACACTACCAGAAGGGAAGAAGGGGAACACAGAGGAAGAATAGCACTGATGTAAGTTTATTTGTCCAAATGAAAACAGAACAATGAAACTTCATAAACTTGTTTTAAAAGGGTGAGAAGGGTATGAGGAGAATGACAAATGAAACTGATCAAGACACACTGTTTATACACGTGGAAATGTTACAATGATCCTGCTTATAAAAAGAAAATAATGGCAAGATCCAATAACAAGTGCTAAAATTAGACCTCAGAAGAAACAGAGTACATGTAGTCTCAAAGAATCTGTCTCAAATCTTTCATAGTTATAAAGGGAAAATCAATAAATTTATATTTGGGAACTCTGGCAGACCACTCCTCAATCAAGCAATCTGATTAATACTTCACCAACAGTAGGTTTCAACATCATTCATATACCCCATGTCATGATGCAGTAAAGAGGGCACACTACCTCTGTAGTATCTTTCCAGACAAAGCATAGCAATTAAAAAAGAAAAAAGCATTGGAGGGCACATGCCTGTAAGCCTAACTTTGTGGAAGATTGAGATTTGAGATTGGGGTGGTGGTGGTGGGGGAGAACAAGGTTATTAAAGAAAAGGAAAACTTAGGAACTCTCATAGCCTAGCGGACACTAAGAGAAACATGATAATGAACTGGACTATCGAGATCGTGTAATTTAGAGCAGAATAAGGACATTAGTGTAATAATCAATAAAATCTAAAGACATGCTATAGTTACTAACAATACTATAGCCAAGACTAACCTCTATATGTAAAGTATTAAAGAGAAGACAAAAAATGTACAGGGACTCAAAAATTTTCCAACTCTAATAAATATCTACTTATCTCAAAATAGTAAGAAACAACAATTTAGTTGGTGCCTATAATTTTAGCTACTTAGGAGGTTGAAATCTGGATGACTGAGGTCCAAAATCAGCCTGGGTAGTAATTTCCAGTGAACTCTACCTCCAAGTAACCAGCAAAATGCTGGACTGGAGGCATAGCTCAAGTGGTAGCCATGAGCAAGACATCCAATGAGAGCATGAGGCCCTGAATTCCAACACTGGTACTGTGCCCCCACATACAAAAAAGAGAAGAAAAAAAAAAAAGGCAATCTTTTAAGTTTTAGATTACTAGATATTAGAACACCGGTTGTGATTCAAGTGTGATGAACTGGTAAAGGTACTATTTCAAATCTTTATCACCCAATCCTCCTTCCCAAACTTTGGATTCTTCTATCAAATGGGGAAAATATTCCATCATCCATCCTATAAGGATTTAATAAACCAAGTGATTACTGATGTCCAGAAACAATATGCTTATGCACAATATAAGCATTACTACAACTTTAGACCTAAGAGAAATCCATTATGCAGGAGGTGTTCTCAGAAATTTGAGATTAAAACAAAAACAAAACCAAGAAACATAGTGAGGTGAGGTAACAAAATGACTAGTGGAAATCTTGCTCTTCAGCAAAAGGAAAAGTTTAAAAAAAGGGGATGGGGGGAGAAGGCCTATGAGTACACTCAAGAAGATGGGCCACAAAGGAGGTCAAGAGATTTTTATCCTATGGCCTGGCCCTCCCTCACTGCTTTTTAAACCCTAGTATGCCCATGAAGGCAGATACATCAAGGATAAGAAAGCACTAGTGTCCCTGGCATGACTGAGATGCTGGGTACTGCTGGGGCAATGGCTCAAAGACAACACCTGCCTGACATATGCAAGGCCCTGAGTTCACAACACCCAGTCATCTTAAAAAAAAAAACCAAAAACACACACAGACATGGTATGTAAGATAACAAGGAACTGGGGTAAAGAATCATTTTTCAAAGACACTGTTACTAAACACTATTATGTATGAAGAAATCTTTTAGGTCCTTTAAGGTTATAATTATAGAACAACTAGAATAGAAATTGTCATCACTCTTCTTCACAATATGATCTTGTCTATACTGCAGACCAGCTATAAGAGAAAACAAAAATGGGTTTCTGCTCCCACTTTTTAATAAACCGCAGAGGCACATTTTCTCAAGTTAATTTTATTAACAAAAAGTGCAAACTAATTTGAAAAAAGTAAACTATAAGTCACAGCATTCAAGATGATATTAGACATGGAAAAGTGAACAATATTAGGCAAAATATAAGCCAGTGAGATGTCTCTCCCATGTACAGTTTATTCATGCTTTTTCAATAGTCTCTTGGCCAATGTTTAGTATAATTTTCACAAATACATAGCAGCTCAAACACAAATGCAGGAGCACAACAGCAAAGTTTGGCAACTATTTTAAGTTTGGGATTCATTATGAGTATGAAAGAAACTCTTGTATATAGTACACTTGCATATTCGTAAAACCCTTATACATAGTTATACTTGCATATTTGTGTAATATGCATGAATCTTTAAATGTACTGACACTGAAATTAAGAATGTTAAAAGTATTTGTTGCATTATAGTTGGATGGTAAGATAAAGAAAAAATGAAAACCCTTTAAAATGTTCTGAAATATGTCCACATGACCAGGAATAAAACAACTCCCATTAAATTAATCCAAATGTAATTGGAGATTAAGTCTATAGTGCCTCAATTATTCATATCAAGTGTCTAAAGGACAGAATCTACTCTTAAGTAATCTTTCTGTTCACTAGCTATACACTGATTAAAAACCAAAACAGAAAATTGATCACTTATACCTTAGTATCTAGCCAAAGAGCGAAGAGCACCAATGACAAGTGACAGGGAGCATGCATGTTTCTACATTTGCTGGCACTTATTTGACCTGTTACAGGACAAAGACTGCCTTTTATTACTGTACTAAATTAATTAAGGATAATAGTGCTATTTGATAATAATAAAATTCTTCTCATCCGATTAATTTTCCCCAATTTTCTGCTGTCATATATAACTGTGCTTGTTTCTAAGTTTCTGACTATTTTAGGTAGAGATGTAAAACTGATATTATATTTGATATCTGTCTGATGATGACACTGAGCACCAACTACACAAAGTTCACAATCAAAGAAGCTTGTAACTCGGTTCTCTTGATCTGCAATTACCTTCCACTGTTTTCATCAGTGCTGAAGTGGAGAGTTTCAGGGTCTATTTGTTCACCCTCAGGAAAACTGGAATGCGTGTCTAAGGGAAAAAAATTAAAGATAAAAAATTTCAAAATATTAAAAGGTGAATTTTCTTTCCCAAGTCTTTGAACAAATCTATCTTCAGAAATGTGTGATCTGCATCAGATGTGAACACAGAGAAACAGGACAGGAGAGAACACAAAATGTACAGCAGGCCCTGCAGTGGGAAGATGGGAGGTACTGTCATACTCTGTCCTCTGGCGGCCATGGTGAGGCAGCAGAAGGAAGACATAACAACTATGATAAAGTCTCAAGACTCAGATTCTGCAAGCATACCACAGGTCTCAAAGCCAACATCACAATGCCTACCAGTATACAGAGTAACTGGCCCTTGTAGAAGCAGAGAGAATACTAATGATGCCTTCATACTTACAAATCACCAAATACTTGCCTCTGAATGGAAAAACAAACTAGAGTACTGGAAATATGTAAAAGACAAAGTTAACAACTAGCATAAACCTGCCAATGCGGTCATTCCAGGAAATTTTGCAGAAATATTCAGATATATTATTAAGGACCCTGTATACTTCAAGTATTTCACTAAAATTATATTACACCTTTTCATTGTTTCATGAAAGGTACTTTAGATATTCACATCTCAGGGGCTGGGAAGGAGGTTCAGTGGTAGAGTGCTTGCATTGCATGCATGAGGCCTAGATTCAATTCCTCAGCACCACATAAGCAGAAAAAGCCAGAAATGGTGCTGTAGCTCAAGTGGTAGAGCCTTGAGCTGAAGAGTTAAGGGACAACACCCGAGCCCCACAACCGACAATAAATAAATAAGAAAGAAAGAAAGAAAAAAAAGAATCATATCTCAGGAAGCTAAGATATGAGGATCACAGCTTGAAGCCAGCCTGAGAGGAAGGTCCATGAGACCCTTATTTACGATTAGTCATCAAAAAGCCGGGAGTAGAGCTGTGACTCTGTGCTTGGCTTGAACAAAAAAGCTTAGGGGGGCTGGGAAGGTGGCTCAGTGGTAGAGCGCTTGCCTTGCATGCATGAAGCTCTGGGTTCGATTCCTCAGCACCACATAAGCAAAAAGGAAAAAGCCGGAAGTGACGCTGTGGCTCAGGTGGTAGAGTGCTAGCCTTGAGCTGAAGAGCTCAGGGACAGTGCCCAGGCCCAGAGTTCAGGCCCCACGACCGGACCCAAAAAAAAAAAAAAAGCTTAGGGACAGCACCCAGGCCCAGAGTTCAATCCCAAGGGCTGTCACAAAAAAACAAAGAAATCCACATCTCAGTGATATAGTTATGATATGTTCATATGACAGACCACTAGCTTGCCATAAAAATTTTTATAAACGGGACGCCAGTGGCTCACGCCTGTAATCCTAGCTATTCAGGAGGCTGAGATCTGAGGATCACAGTTCAAAACCAGCCTGGGCAGGAACGTTCATGAGACTCTCATCTCCAATTAACCACCAGAAACCCAAAAGTGGCACTGTGGCTCAAGTGGTAGAGCACTAGCCTTGAACTGAAGAGCTCAGGGACAGTGCCCAGGCCAAGTTCAAGCCCCAGGACTAACCCAAAATAAATAAATAAATAAACAAATAAATAAATAAAATCAAAAGCAAAAAAACAGGGGCTGGGAATGTGGCTCAGTGGTAAAGTGCTTGCCTAGCATTCATGAAGTCCACAGTATCACATAAACAGAAAAAGATGGAAGTGACACTGTGGCTCAAGTGGTAGAGTGCTAGCCTTGAGCAAAAGCTCAAGGATAGTACCCAGACCTTGAGTTCAAGCCCCAGGACTGGCAAAAAAAAAAAAAACCCACAAAACCCAGCAACTTCATTTAGGTAAAAGGAATGTTAATAAAAACAAAATAAAGTATTAACAGGTTTCTATGGTGAATTTTTTATGATTTATTTTAGGGAAAGGAAAATAAAAATGATTTCATAATATGTATACATTTCTAATAAGACAGAAAAAACTAGTTTAAAAAAATTACAGAGTCAAGAAACAGTAGTTCACACTTATAATCCTAGCTACTCAAGAGGCTGAGATCTGAGGATCAGTTTGAAGCCAGCCCTAGCAGAAAAGTCTGCCAGACTGTTATCTCCAACAAATTACTCAGAAAAAGCTGGAATGGGAGCTGTAGCTCAAGTAGTGAAGCACTAGCATTGAGCATGAAGAGGCATAGGGATAGCGCTCAGTCCCTGAGTTCAAGCCTAGGACGTTATAGAAGAGGAAAAAGTCAAATTTCCCCATAGCCAGGAGCTGGTTTTGGTAACAGGTTAAACAGTACTGTTGAAGCCAGAAACGGTCTCCAATCAAAGTTCTCTGATCCTTTGGTTTTACTAGTTCATTACAATTTAAAGCTGTTGTCAGGCCACAGGCTATTAAAAAAAAAAAAAAAAAGCAGGTTGGGGCACTTCACTGTACCCAGGAAGCAGGAATCATAAAGTATCTCACCATGCAAGCCAAGTAGTAGCTACTCATTTTCCTCAATACTCACCATATGGTTAACCAAAGAATGATGTGTCACAAATGACAGTAATTTAAAACAAAAGAAGAAGGAAAAGCAGCAGAGCAGGCAAGCAGAAGCAGCAGAAGAAGAGGAAAAGGTGATGGCAGCGATGGTTTTGTTAAGCTCTAAAAGGACACCACGTGCTGCACCTTCATCCGGGGGCTGTGCCATGAAAGGGTCATTAAACCCAGCCATGTTGGGGTGTTCCTCTTGCTCCTCATTCTCAGTGTCACATTCAATATCACTGTCGCTACTGATTCCTGGAAGGAGGAAACATTTTCTCATGAGACACTACCTTGAAAGAAGCAGCAGCTCTGCTTCTACTGACCTTAGATTCTTAACACAATTCTACTCTGAGAGCCAACAGTTAACAGACTAAACAGAAGGAAAATAACAACACACATCTGAATTCTTTTCAGTTTTTTTTTTGAACAGTGCTTTTACTTTTTGTTCTTAAAATTGAGTACTATAGTTCCAAAACTACTTTTAATTTCATTAAACTAAGAATATTTTTCCAGCCAAAATACTAGTTTCTAGCCCAAGACATAAATAAATTATGTAAAAAGATATAGTATAGGTTCAGAGAAAATTCCAGAGACAAGTTGGTTTCTGACCTATTTGGGCCTCTAGTTTGTGTTTGTCTGTCAGTTTTGTTGGTATCCCTACCATTTTAGAAATGAGGCACTTGCTTTGTGTTGGGAAAAACACAGATAGAAAATCTCTCTGAAAGTAGAATACCACTAAATGCTAAATGCCTGACATAGACTGCTTATGAAAAACAAACAGGAATAGTGTACTGGTAATGTCAAATCTTGAAGTGCTATCAAATTGGCAAATTCAAACAAACCCACAATCTCAAAAAATCACATGTTGAGATTCTGGAATAATCTAACAACTTTCAAGCCAATATTAAAAGCTCACATGATTGACACAAGTAAAAACTTTTAGTTATAGAAGCTTACACAGTATGGATCACAAGAGTTCTAATGGGGTAAGCCTCAAAAAAGGAGTACTCACTGTAAACAAGAAAAGTAACCACAGATAAAAGAAACAGAAAACACAAAGAACAACAAGGGAGTTTTCATTAAACTGAAGAACCTATAAGACATATGACTATTTCATTTTAAAAAGGACAGATTGCAGAAAAATAGATTTTGTAGAAATACAGACATTAAAATTAAGGTATTAAGATAGTTTAGGCAAAGTTTAAAATGAACTTGTAGATGTGAATAAAAAACGAAGGTTATCAAAATAATAATAATTATTATTTTTGTCGGTTGTGGAGCCTGGACTATGGGCCAGCTCTTCAGCTCAAAGCCAGTGCTCTACAACTTGAGCCACAGCACCACTTGTGGCTTTATTTGCTTATGTGGTGCTGAGGAATTGAACCCAGGGCTTCATGCATGCAAGGCAAACACTCTACCACTGAGCCACCTTCCCAGACCTCAAAATTATTTTTTAAAAAGATTTTAAAGAAATAGAAGATCAAAGGAAATGCTACTACTCATCTCAAAATGCCAAGGGACAGAAAAATTAACAAAGGAGACAAGGTACTAAGAAAATGTCTGAGAAACTTACAAAATTGGTGATAAAAACTCTGAATTCACTGAAAACTAACATCAAAAATTAAGGAATGCATCCAGGTGCCGGTGGCTCATACTTGTAATCCTAGCTACTCGGGAGGCTGAGATCTGAAGATCATGGTTCAAAGCCACCCCGGGCAGGAAAATCCATGAGATTCTTATCTCCAATTAAACACCAGAAAACCAGAAGTCACTGTGGCTCAAGTAGTAGAGTACTAGCCTTAAGTTGGAGCTCAGGGACAGTGTCCAAGCCCCACAAACAATAACAAAAACAACAAACCTGAAAAATGTGCCCATAGTATATTAAAGGAAATTTATGGCAGTAAATGGTTATATGAGGAATTATGTGGCATGCACTTGTCCCAGATATGGTACAAATATAGAGGATTGTCTGGATAGAAAGCAAGGATCTATTTAAAAAATAACCAAAGAAAAATGTTGGTGGAGGGGTATTCAACCTCCCAATTCCTGACAAAAAAAAAAATAATATGTAACGAAAAATTGTAGTTTCAGCTGGGCACCGGTGACTCACACCTGTAATCCTAGCTACCCTGGAAGCTGAGACCTGAGGATCAAAGTTCGAAGGCAGCATGGGCAGGAAAGTCTATGACACTCTTATCTCCAATAAACTACTCAAAAAAGCTGGAAGTGGAACTGTATTCTCAAGTGGTAGAATGCTAGCCTTGAGCAAAAGAAGCTCAGGGAGCACCCAGACCCAGAGTCCAAGCCCTAGTACCAGCAAAAGTACACCACCACCAACAAAAACTATAGTTTCATATGGCTTCACTGGCAAATTCTTCATTGTAAATTCTTGTTTTGAAGACAAATTTAAGTAGTATTTCTTCCTTAAACACAGAAGACAAAAACTTGATATATGGATATTTCTTTTCTTTGGGGGGGGGGGGGAGGGGTCTGGTCTTGGGGCCTGAACTCTGGGCCTGGGCGCTGT